GAGATACTTGCCTATTTCGGGTGACTTTACTTTTCAGGATCACAAGAAAGGTTGTCAATGACTTGACACTCTTCCCAAAATACTGCTGACTTCTGGGTTATTTATTTATGTTTTGAACTACAGCACTCAAGAAGCTATTGCATCTTTGCCGTTTTGCTTAAATTTGTCATGCTTTCCAACTTTTTAAATGTCATATCACAGAGAAAAAATGACTATCAGTGTTTGGGAACAAAAGGGGGCTTAGAGCCTAGAGGCTGCTGGAGGCTGGAAGGACTGGTCTGGGACTCTGGTGCCCCGGGGCCCCCTGGTCACCTGAGGGTGTAGCCGCATACAGGCTGGGAAGCTACCCTTAGGTAAGTCGTGACAACTTGGTTATAACCTCCTGCTGTGAATTGTCCATCTCCAGGATGTGACAGAGCACCACCCACCGTTTTAGCAGGACAGGGCTCTCAGAGAGAAGTGGGAATCAAGTCTCCTGTCTGGGTATGAGAAAATGAAACATTGTGGATGCCAGAAGAGAGTATAGTTGAAGTGCAGAATCTGGTATCCAAGGAGTTTGGCAACAGTAATCACCATCTAGACTCTTGGAATCAGAGCCACATGGGAAGAGTTTGAGAGGAAGGGAGGGATCCCGATTGGTGGGCACAGCACCTGGCAGGGAGTAATTCAGGGTGAGAAGCACAGAGAAGACTGGCCAGGTGGCATCTGGGAAATGAAGCCACACATCCTAGGTTTAAGATTAAGAGGGAGAAATTGTGTCATGGGAAGGGGATGGTAAAAACAAAGTAAGAACTTAGAGTGTCCATACCAGGAAGGCACCTGAGTCCAGTCAAAGCAGAGGGCAAGGCATTTAGAAACAGGGATCAAGGTGGATGCTGAGTTAGAGGAACCAGACCCCACGAGGCTGACTAGGGCTTCTGAACATGGCATTCGTGCAGACATCAGACCTGGGCACTGCTTCAGCTGCCATTGGACTATAAAATGGAGGACTGGGCTTAATGGATTACCTGTGGCCTCACATCAGGATAAGTCCTTGGAATACAGGGAAACTGTATCAACTGGTGGAATCAGGTACCCCTGCCATGGAAACCGGGAGAGGAGATTCAGTCTGAGGAGCCTCCTGGACCCCACCCGAAATGCAGGGGTCCAGCCTCAGCAGCTCAATATTGCTACTTTGCAAACCCTAACCTCATTAAAACTCAGAGACAGAAAGAAACATATTCAGGAATGCTGCTCTTAGCATTAGTACAATTTACTTTTTCATTTGTCATCAGATATTCAAAATTATGCTTCCATATTCTTAAAACAAAACTAGTATTTTAAATTGTAATCACTCTGTTTCCTTCCATCATGAAGTAGGAGGACTACTTGTTATGTGTCAAAAAGTTTTTCTTTTAAAAGTTTGTCTGCAACAGTCTGGCAACTTTTTGTTTATTTAGCATATATCCTCTATTCACCTGCTTCACTGTTGATGAGGTTAGTTGGGGCTGACATTTTTGGTGAATTATTTGGTAGAACCATAGGAAATTTCTGATACTCAACTGTCTTTGACATTTTTTTTTTTTTTTTTTTTTTAGGCGGAGTCTTCACTCTGTCGCCCAGGCTGGAGTGCAGTGGCACCATCTCGGCTCACTGCAAGCGCCGCCTCCCGGGTTCGCGCCATTCTCCTGCCTCAGCCTCCCGGGTAGCTGGGACTACAGGCGCCCGCCACCGCGCCCGGCTAATTTTTTGTATTTTAGTAGAGACGGGGTTTCACCGTGTTAGCCAGGATGGTCTCGATCTCCTGACCTCGTGATCCGCCCGCCTCGGCCTCCCAAAGTGCAGGGATTACAGGCGTGAGCCACCGCGCCCGGCCTGTCTTTGACATTTAAAAACTGCAATTTTGTGTGGGTCAAGCTAATAGCTGCTGCCATCTCTTCCTTTCCTGCAAATGACAGATTCTTCTGTGAGTTAAGGAGGAATGGAGAAATCCTCTTCTCCATCAAAAGAGCCAGGACTCCAGCGGAGATGGTGCGGCTCAGCACTCCCCTCTCAGCCTGCAGTTTCTAAGCTTGCTTGTCTCCATCCATAATCAACCAACTGGAATTTGAATATATTACTCCCTGCCAATCAGACACTGACAGTTTACTTTGACCAACACAACTTTAAGTCATAGAAACTTCAGCTTAGGTCAAATATTTTCTGAAGAGACTATGCCAGAACCGTACTTCCCCAATATTTGGCTAAATCCAAAGCTTTCAAAAGTAGTTTTAAAGTGATTTTATCATACCTAGGACGTCCACTTCATCTTCTTTTTTTTTCAATGTGAATAGATTTATACAAAATCGTACGTCTCTCAAACACACACACATATGCATGCATACATGCATGCACATGAGCATCAGTAAGAGTCTGAGTTTGCAAGAAGGCAGGCAAAAGTTTGGGATGCCATCTCCTTAATGTAACTATTTCTCTGCAAAGAACCAAGTCAGCGCAGTGTTGCAACTTGGTCACAGCAGATTCTCAGAACCCACATTATGAGGTTCAAAATGTTGCAGACAAGTCACATGACTTGCCTCATAGAATCAGGAATTGTTCCATTCTAGCAATGCTCTGGGGGTCCATTTGATTTTGCCTTCCTTACTACCAGAGAGACAAAAAAGGAACTAGAAGGAAATTAGAAATAGGTGAATGACTGAGTGACCAGAGAGACTGATTTATGAATGAAGACTGAGGGAAACAGAACATCTCTCGACATAAGCAAACACTGATGACTATGACAGCTCACTGTGGAGGGGTCTGTGGTCGCTGTCTACAGATGCCGGACAGATAAGCCTTAGGAAGAGGCAGCATTAGTGCCTTGTAGCATGAACCACATAGGGGTGGTGACATGAAATTACAAAAAAAGTAATTCGTAGTTATAAGGATCATTTAAAAAACTCGAATTGGGAGTGTGTATTAGATGGATAGCAAAACTTCTGAGTCATAGTATCTTAATGAAAACTCCACTGTGTTTGAAAAAGATATTTCTCAGTCTCTCTTAGGTTAGCCTAATGCCTTTCAACTTTTGCCTACAGAAAGTTCTTCCTGAAATTTTCCTTAAATCCCATATGGTGCAGCTTAACCAGATCGCTCTTGCTCTGCTGCTGTTGGGAACGGTGCTTCATCCCAGGACTCAAGCGTATGCTGGTCTGATCTCCGCCAGCAACCAGGGCAAACCAAGACTGCATTAGTCTGTAAATGCCTGCCTCTGGGTCTCCCTGCACAAGGACTATGCTATGGCTTCCTTCATATTTTCTTTTTTGGATGGTGTTAAAAACCATGTCCCCCTTCGTCAGCCTGATTAGTGCCAATAGTTAAGTGATTTGTTTCAGGACTTCCCAAGGAAGTGCCATGAGGCCTTGGGAAAGTTGCTTATGCTGTGTGAGCCCATTGTCTTACCGGTAAAATAAATATGCTAATACTTTTTGGTATTCGGCCAAAAATATATATTCATCAGAAATAATACATGTAAAGCACCTTGTATTATAGTGGACCTATAGCATACATTCAATAGGGGTAGCTTTTTAATTCTTATTATAAATTATTCTTTTTGGTACATGTGTCTTAACTTCTTCACTGAATTCATATTCTCTAAAGTACCTAGCAGGTAGCAGATGCTTATGGATTGTCGAATCAATACCTGAATAGATTAATAAACCAATAGATCAATACCGATTATTACAAATTACAGAACCTGCATGTAAAGGTGCCCTTCTCTCTGTAGCAAAGGTTGCTGATACAGGTATAGATCATGCTGGGCCAGGCTGATACCATCTTAGCCATCCTGTCCCCAGTTCCAGAGTCCATTCTAGATATTGGTACCAAAGTCCTTTTGGGGTTAGAATGCATATGGCCTTCCCCAGAAGATCCAATCTATTTTTATTATCTTTGCTGGACTCATGATAAAGTTGTGGACCAGAACTTGTGCCCAAAAAAGAATCAACTGCCTCGATATTGATGCATTTGACCATGTGCTCCTCTAGGTGTAGCCAATGATAACACTGTGATGGCAATAACAGCTACCATTTCATGATGTGTGTGTGTGTGTGGCATGTGTTTGTGATTTCTCAGGGTCACAACAACCCTTATGAGTTGGATCTCCTTTTCTCATTTCACTGGAGAGAATCTCTGAAGCTCTGGCAGGAAGTACCTCCCCCAGGGTAATGTACGAGTGACCTGTCTTGGGTGTGTCTTCCCTGGTGTAGCTGCCTCAGTTCTAGCAGCGGCAGAGGTTTGGGGCCTCTTTGGAGACAGGGACGTGGGCACGGGGATCTAACAGAGACAGCCCATCAGCCTGCAGAAGGAACCAGGTCATTGGCCCTGGCAGATCCTTCTGCCCATAGCCTGCTGTTGGGCTCTGATAACATCCAGGACTCAGGACTCAGCCTTGACTTGTGAGGGGAGATAACAGACTCAGCAGACCTGGGCTTGGGCCTCTCCTCTCTCACCTACAAGGTGTCCTTTCACACCCCAGCACAAAACTTCCCAGCAAAGCTCCAGAGGATTAAGCAGAACTGCAGATAGAGTATTTCTGCATACATGAATATTAAGAAACGAAAACACAGTATTCTCTGATATCAGCAAATATACTCAGTTACCCATAGTCTTTTCTGATACAGTCAAACCAGGGAATACATATTAAGGATACAAACTGAGTTAAATGTTATGTGACTTTTGCATTGTTCCATTGGAAATACATCTGTATGCTATTCTTAGATTTTTAAGTTTCTAAAATTGTAAATGCCGTATGTGCTGATGAATCTATCTATAATTCTTTGTTGACCAGTGTCTGTGGTTCTAGAACCTGAGATTTTCTGAAAAGGCAATACGAAAACAAACTGTTATTTCAGTGTGCTCAGGGAAAGAAGAATGTTTCTATGCAATTGTTAAATATTAGATGTAAGTCTGCTCTAATGACAATGGACCCCTGATTTATCACTATATACTGATGACTGTGCTCTCATTTTTATACAAACCAGTGCTTTTGGCTGCCCGTATTCAGACATGAACTTGAAAAAGGAGGCAACACTTCATGATCGTTTGAGAGAACAAACACAGGCAAATTTGGAATCAGACTCTTCACATTCGAAATCAAAAAACCTCTGTAGTTTGAACTTCAATGGAAAACATGAAAAGGTGAACAGTCAACCCAGGTAAGAAACTTCTTGAAAATGTGAACCAGAAAGTAAACCATGTAGAACAGTAAAAGAACAATTTTGTTAATAGTAATAGTTTCTATTTATTTCTTCAAAAGAATTATTTTTATTTCTGGATATGTTTGCTGGGCTGATAAAATTCATCTAAGCCTTGATCTTCATTTAAAAAATATTTTCTTTTGCTTCATCCTTAAATATTTGTATTTACCTTTTTCTAAATGTACATATTGTATATAAGCAGTAGAAAGTATATCTCATTTGTACCATTCCAAAAGATTTCCTTTATCTTAAAAAGTCTTTATTGTTTTGAATTGTTTCATAGATATTACCTCTTTTGGCACATGGACAAGTATCGGTATCTTCTTAGTCATATCAAGATTTCCTCTCTTATCTGTTACTTGTCTTTGTCATCTTTAATACAAATGTACCTCAGATATGATTTCTTCTTACACAGAATAGTTTCCATTTTGATTTATTGACAACACATCTTCCCTTTGTTCCTAAATGTAAACTTGTGATTTTAAATATCAGTTTTCATTTTTTGTGTATATATAACTATATCCTAAGGAGCTGCAAGTACAGCCCTATGTGATTTTTTTAACCTAAATGAGTAAAACAATCTAAATAACATCTTTTCTCCAAAAAGCTCCATTCTCCATGCTGGGAATTATAAATACAGAAAAGTCTAACACTAAGTAAATAACAAGACCAGACAGAGACTGAGCCAAGAAAGCCTAGACAGAGAGATGAGAAATGGGCATTTTCCTGACCCTGCTGCTGGCAAAAGCCAATCATGTTCAAGATGTTGAGCACCCTAGACCCTGACTGTGCAAGATTTGAAGGGACGACTGCTTTTCCTAAACCTCAGAGCCTTGCTCTTTGCATTCAGCAGGTGTAAAACAAAGACACACAGGCCTCTCTGTGGCTGCAAAGTTTCCACTGAAATCACTGCCAGCTGATTTGCACCTCCATCCCAGGTGGGGAGGTGCTCCTTCTCTTCCAAGGGGGCACCAATTTATTTGGAGAATTTGGCTCCTAGGGCACACTTTTCACATGGGTTTCACATCCTGGACTGTGGATATTCTTTTTATTCATACACATGTTATTTTAGAGAATTTGGGTGACATTTCATTTTTTGTTAAATTTTGAATATTTTGATTTGATCTCTGTGCACATGATTGTAGATTAGTGCTTCTCTCTGTTGCATGATTTATTTTGTATGGATACACACACTTCTCTATTTTTATAACTGTATCTTGCATTTTTATTATTTGTTATACACCTACTCCTCTTGTTGAAACTTCACAGGGTCTCGTTGTTCTTTACTGCTGTTTCACACCCACACTGTTTACAACTTTACATGGTTGAGAGCTTGAATGTCTTTCCATTTCCTGATTGAGAGAGAATTTTTTCTTTTTTAAGTGTTTTCCAAGGAACAGTGTTTATTTATTCCAGAATCATAGAGACCAGTACATTCATTCGCCCTTAATCTTTTTGCTATAATCTGTTGTATTTTTTTCAAATAAAAACCTAGTCAGTTTCTCTTGTAAATATTTTAGACATTCATCCTCAATGTCAAAAATCACAGAAACGAAACAGATCTTTGAACTGCCTTAAAAAAAAAGATTGCTCTCAGAGGTTAGCTAAGTTTTTCCCTCTAGCAAACACAGATATGTTGCCTCCCCTATCTTGAACTCCTCTTAGGAGTTTAGCCTTTTAAACTAATTGTTATGTGCCTTGCCATTTATGAAGGGGCTTTACACTGAAATATATCAGATAGGAATAATTACTACAGATAGAAAGAAGGAGTTGAGAATGTTATTTGATAATCAAGCAGACAAATCTCAGACTGTCCTGTTCTACCAAATCCTATGTCACCTGTAATTAGCTGTGGGGGCAGGAGGTGTATGATACACATCATGAATCCTCAAGCCTATTTTTGCTTTTACATCTCAAGACCAAAGCCATCCTTGCATTCCAATATCTGTCCACTTTTTTTCCTAACCAATCATCCTAATAATGTTTGGATAAATCGTATTAGCAGTCATTCCCCTTTTGAGTTTACCCTCATCTCCATCACATCCTGTTCATAATCTTAAATTCCAGGTCGAGGGGAAAAAAAAGAACAAAGGAATCAACAAAGAATGATATGTAGGTTAGTTATGCACAGATAAAACATATTTTAACTCTCTCCACAGCTTACTTGTAGTACTTTCCCAAGGCTGCCTTTTCTCTAACCCAAATCTTTGCTCTTGAAATCACCAGCTATCAGATACAGGTGATGGAGAATATTTAAATTCTATCTCTCCTCTTCCGCATGTTGAGAAGAAATAACTTTTACTTGACTCCTGTCCAAAAATAGGGGTGGGGTGTTAAATTGGTGAAAATCAGAGCTGTAATTTCCACTGGCCTCCAGTCAAGCCATCCGCCATTGAGCTCTGGACAGGCCTTCTGTAACTTTTTATACAAGCAACATTTGTCACATTAGAATATCCAGAGTTCCAGCCTGGGCAATATCATGAAACCCCATCTCTGTGAAAAATACAACAACAACAACAAAATAGCTGGGTGTGGTGGCATGTGCCTGTGTAGTTCCAGCTACTCAGGGGGCCGAGGTGGGAGGATCACTTGACACTGGGAGGCAGAGGCTGCAGTGAGCTAAGATCACACCATTGCATTCTAGCTTAGGTGACAGAGTGAGACCCTGTCAAAAAACAAAAAAACCGGAAAGAGATATATGTGTGTGTATATATATATATAATATATATACACATATATTTATATATATCCAGACTTCTTGTAATTCAAGTGAAAAATATAAAATTAACTTTGATAAACTTCCAAATTCAGTTAGATATTACCCAACAATTTAGATAATTTTTTTCTTTTCCTTAACTGCAACCCAATTTTTTGATTATTTTTTAAAAATATGTTTGCTCTTATATTAATCTTTGTATCAAGGTTATAGTTAGTAAATATATGGCTCCATTGCATGATTTAGTGGCAGAAATAGTCTATTTATGTTAACATTTTTTAGTAGAGAGTCATATTTTAATTTTGAGAGATTTATGTATGTACTGCTAGAGGTTTGCAAGAGTTATCTCTATAACAGTAAGCTATAGATGTTATATTAACTGTAAAGAGTCATACTCACAATATCACAGTAAGTCACCGTTACTGAAAACCTGTATATATTCCTTTTTTATTTGTGCTAATAGAGTGAGTAGTATTATATTAATGGTGCATTAAATGGAGGTGAGTAGCTTACCCTTGAGTTTCTTTCATTTGGGTATATATAGTAGAGGAGAAAATACCTTAATTCATTTAACCATTTATAGTTTGCACATACATAACCTTTGGAGCTTCCCATAATTTTGTAATTTAGGCAAAGCAGACATTATTCTCGTCATAATATTGCCATTTATAGATGAGGAAATAGTAAGCTGGTAAGCTTATCTGGGACTGAAACATAGGTCTTCTGATTAAATACAACATATTAACAGTAAATTAATAATCATATCACCAGAAATATCAATGATAATACGTATCTACTCTTAATAGCACATACTTACTTGGGGCTGTGAAGTGGTACACTAAACAATTTATGTACATCATAGTATTAATTTTATTTCATCCTCCCAACAAGCCTATATGTGGTAAGTTTTCTTATTCAGATTTTATAACATGGGTACCTAGAAGTTCAGAGAGGTTAGGCAGTGTCTGAGGTCATACAGATGAAAAGTAGAAAAAAATCCCACGTGCAATTCAACTACATTAGACTAGTGAAAGAATGACAGCTTAAGGCTTTGAAAAAGCCCAGCTCGGTTCATATTTAGTCTACTTTCTACTGATGTCTGGGATTCTCAAAGTCACCTTGTGATGCATCTATTTCTTATTTTGTGAAAATAGAACCTGCACGTTCTGCACATATACTCCAGAACTTAAAGCATAATAATAATAATAAAAAGAAAATAGAACTACTGAAGGGAAGAATCTTACCATGTTTTCCCCAAACTGATGTTTCTTATTTATACTATATATAATACAAAATGTCCATCTTGAGCACATTTTATTATGATATACTAAAGGCTTCTACCTGCCCGCAATAAGAGAATAAAATGAATCGTTAAAACATTTTCATCATAAAGAAAATTACTTTGGAATGCACCTCCCCTCAACTCCCCATATTGCCTATTAGCTGGTTTCCCCAGGCCTGAGGGGGACATTTTTTCCAGGCATTTTTTTACCTTCCTAAGTGTTCTTTAATAACTTCCTTTGCCTCCCAGAAGCATTGTTTAATATATTCTAATTCACACAATTGATAGCACCACCGTTTGTTAAAATACCTGTCATATTCTATCATTGCTATTAAGAAAATCTAAGAAAATGCCTAACAAAGCTCACTTTGTTTTTCCTGATGCCGGCCATATTATAAATTTCATGCACTTTTTGAAGGCTAATATTGGTAATGAAAATGCCTGGGAAAAGTTGTGGTAATCAGAAAAGATGGCATGTAGTGGAATAGTTCCTTAATGATCTTGATGATGAACTGCACTGCCATGAGCCAGCTAGTTTATTTCCACTAGGCAAATTAGCTGCAACATAAGTACCTTCTATGATGCCCACCCTCAGAATTATAACAATGTTAGTTGGTTGTCCCGCACATTCACCTTCCAAGTGAGTAAATAGGTTCTTTAATCCACCAGACTCTCTCGCTTCTTACCTTCACTTTCTCACTCTTCTCTCTCACTTTCTCTCAATTCTCTGCTTTGGGAGGTGGAGTCTACTTAGTGGCCCCATTCACTCCCCATCATCGCCTGCAGTGTCGTTTTCATTCCTGCACTTGTGCCTTTTGTTTCCTTTCTTGATACCTCATTTACTCCTGCCTGTATCTCCTCCCTTTCCCACGGCTCACTTTTCTCTTGGAGTTCTGTGGCAGTTCCAGCCTGTAAGAGCTTCTTGAAGTTGGAGATTGTGTTTTATGTGTCTCTCTATTT